GTCGGCACGGTTGTGGCACCCGCTACTCCAGCACTGAGTGGCCCAAACACCGAAGCTGGTGGTTTACTGCTTATTTTGTATGTAGCTACATTTAATGCTAATCACAAGCCTAGCGCTGGAACACTAGTTAGCTTTTGTTTGCAGTGTAGCTAAGGTGCAACCTTCTGTGGAAATGGGTTGTGTGGGGGCGGTGCGATTTGTTTTTGTTTTTTTTACCGTTAGTCTGCTGGCCAACTTTAAGATGCTAAACGCTAAACACAACGAGCTGTATGAATACGTGACTATTTAAACCACAGTAATTAAGACGAAAGGCTCCAGTCGTGTTATGTTCTTGACAAATGCTAGCTAGAGTAGCTGAGCGGTTGCCAATAGAGACAGGAGGCGCTATGTGTATTCATTTTATGCTGCTCTTAAACCCAGAGCTGCTAACAGTGACGATGAAATGATAAATAAATAAAAAAAATGGCAGTAAAAATGTATTCTGCTCGGTTCTGTTGCACTGTTAGCTTGATGACTACCCTTACACTGTAAACCCACCAGCACAGATTGAACATGGTAAGTCAAACTGTGCTCTCCCTCGACATTTTTTTTGTATTTATTCATTGACGATGTAACGGGGTTTCATAATCTTCGAGGATCATTTCATTATCATTCACTTTTTTCATGATTATCTGCTAAATTAATAAACTTATTTTCACTGCTATTTTCAGGCTACAAAGCCGAAGGGGAAAGCCTCGAAAAGTAAGTTAAACTTGTGCTATTTGAATCCTACTAACTTTCCTTCTTTTTTTTTTTTTTTTTTTTTTTTTTAATAAACTTTCAGGAGTATCAAAAATAAGGCCTGGGGCCCAGAATCAATTCGACAAAAAAGTTTAAACGGTCTTGTACCAAGTAGTGATTTCCGATGTTTCTGTGTATTTGTTTTAATGTGTAATGTATTTGCTTATATTGAGTGTAGCTAACATGATTTATTAAGGGGTTATGTATATAAAATAAATAAAAACACAGTGTCTTTATATAACTATTATTTTGTATTTGTTGCAATTTCTGCTCCTTTCTTGGCCAGATTACTCTTTAAAAAGACACTTTTAATGTCAGTGAGACTTAGCTGGATAAATAAAGGCTTCTATATAAATTAGTTTGCCCAAAACTGATTGCAGCTTCTACCTTGTGACAGGAATGTTGTTTGTGGCTCCAAACGACTTGATAGCAATCATGAAAGATATGTTTGACAGACAACAAGTCATTTACAAGAGTTTAAAAATGATGAATCTCTTTTGGTACAACACTGACCCGCTGGGTGGCTTTGAACAATCTAAAGCACGGCATAAAATTAGACTTTTACCGTAACTGATTTACAGCTTGATAAAGACCTCTCCCATGGTCATTCATACTACACCAAAGTAATTAAGTAATATATAGACAATTAAATGGCAGAAAAGTTAAACTTTTGTACAGTGGCAGTTAGGGGAGTTTCACTGGTCTGGTCCACTTTATATTAAAGTATGTTGTATCTGGCACACAATTACATCCTTGTCCCTCGTGATTGTACCTCAGCAAAACATTGACTGTAAAATGATAAAAGCCTATTTCTACATTAAAATATAACCCAGTGTGTGTCTGTCCTGCTGATCCAAAATCATTGGATCATGAGATGTCGTACCACGACAAATACAGATATAGGCAGCAGCAGTAGTATGCCTCTCCTGCACCTTGCTGAAGTTGACTGTATACCTCTGTTGCTTTTCTAAGGTTCATTCAGGGATGATTTGCTTGACAGCTTGCTTGATGATGACAGTAAGTGAGCGCAGTTGTGCTGTTTTATCAGAATTAGTGTCTATCTTTATGTTAAAGTGTGTCATAATATTTTCTTGAATTAATTTTCCAACTAGAGCAGCCAGTAAGGACGAAAGCATCACACGATGGACCTATGTATAGGTAAGTTAGAAGGAAGATTTGTGAATTGCAATGTGCCAGCTGTAAATTATTACTCCTCTTCATGTTCTGTTTTCTTTTCCTGCTCATCTGCTACTGATTATATTGTCAGCACGCTAGCACAGGAGATAAAAATGGATGGTGCGGACACTGAGGTATGTAGGATAATATGCAAACTGGGTCATATTCACCCCGTTTTTTTTTCCTTTTGTGTTTATTTTGTCTTTTTATATTTTCTTTTGTCCGAGGACTCGGATGTGTCAGCGGCTGATCCCAGCGACATACTCAAGAGCATGAAGGTGGGTCATTAATTGAGGTTGCGGCGGCAAAGATAAAGTTCACACTGCACGTTTCACTTTTCCTCTCTGTCCTCGTGCAGGACATGGACGACATGGACGCTGACCTCTTTGCATCAAAGAAGAAGCCCAGTTCGGCTCCCGCGCAAACAAAGCCACTTGTTAGCGAAGGACCAAAGAAAGACTCTGCTGTGCTCGAGAGTAATGCAAAACCAGAGGGAGCAGGTAATTCAGTGCAGAGTGTTCTCGCATAAATTACTTTCTCATTATTAGCTCCACATTATTACCAGCTTTGAAGTTTTACATTAATAGCAGCGATCAGAAAAAGGCTTTTGTCTGCCTTTACTTCCCTCAGATGAACCCACCAAAGAGGGGAAGAAGCCGAACTCTGCACCTTTATCCTCAGCGCGGAGTTATAAGAAGTTCACCTTCTCTGGTAAGCGAGTCTCCCCCCTCCCTGTCGTGACATCCGCTTCCTTGACTGAGCTTTGTATAAATGAACATGGTGCAGATGTGTTGTTGACTTGCAGCTTTGCTTTGTTTCTCTCAAAATGTTGCTTTAACTCAGACAGTGGTGGTGAGGATGAAGGTGTTGCTCAGACTTCTTACGCTAAAGGTACATTAGTGTGGTTGATACGTGTTTAGTCCTGTACTTGCAGTTAAGTCACATCAGTGGGTGCTTGTGGGTAGTATTTAACAGTGGAGGTGTACACTGTAAAATGTTTGCTATTCCAAATCGAATCAACAAATCTGGAAGTATACGGAAGGAATTAGATTTGCATACACTGACACCCAAGAACAATGATCCAACTAGCAGATGGAATTGCCCTTCAGTTATTCCAATATTATATCTATACATGTAAAGGGGCAAGTATAAATAATAATTTGAAATTGTGCCTATGGATGAAGCTCATATATCCAAACTTAATGTCACAAGTTCATCTGCTCTCTTTAATTCTCTCTGCCACTGAAGTTTGTGGTGTCGTCAGAAGTAAAATGTTGTTTTTGACGGTGACTATGAACTAAAGCATAGAACATATTACAATTAAAGAGATTTTGCTCAACAATGTTCAAAAACTTTGAGTGAGCAATCGTCAGAGATTGTTGACAGACATGCAAAACACCTAAAACAACTGATTTCTGCAAAGAAAAAACTAGATCTAGATTCTGTTTGATCTAGCTTGTGTACACTTACTTTTTTCACAACAGACTATTTATATTTGTATTTTGTTCAATAAATGGTAAATGGACATGATCAGAAATATTACTCAGGTTGACTGTGAGTTCGTGTGAACTGTAGCCTCAATTTCCTGTTCTTAGCTGACCGAAATCACACCCAGTATTGTCTTCTGCTGTAGCCCATGTGCTTCAAGGTTTGACAGGTTCACTCAGAGATGCTTTCTGCAAAACTGGGTTTTTCAAGTTATTTGAGTTAGTGTTGCCTTCTTATCAGCTCAAAGTAATCCGTGTGCTCTCATCTGATCTCTAGCATTAACTACTCTAGATTCAAAGTCAGCTTTCTTTCCCATTCGGATACAAAGTTTGAACTTCAGCAGGCCATCTTGACAACATCTGCCTACCTCAATGCACTGCCATGTGATTGGCTGATTAAATATGTGTGTTAATTAGCAATTGAAACGTGCGCCTAACAAAGTGGCCACTAAGTGTATGTTTCACAACTGGGAAATGTGTCAGTTAATGAATCCAGTTCAACAAAGTACAGTTTCAAGTTATTGTATTGGTATAGCAGATAAAAATAATAATAATAAAGTAAGTATTTAAGTGTTTTATTGCCCTTTTACACTCTGGGGCCCAAATCCATTATTCATGATATAAAGACTCTTATTTTTTGCAGATCTAGACGACCCCCTGGATGATTTGCTTCCAGGTGACTCAAAGCCTGACTTGAAATCTAGCTTCTCCAAACCTGAAAAATCTGTGCCATCTCCTTCAGCATCTCCCATTCTAAAGAATGAAACGAGTAAGCCTTAAACTTACCAGGATTCTTTAGTTTCCTTTCTTTTTTAAATAATCGCCAAATGCTGAAGGCTTGTGTTTTATTCTTTGTTGATCAGCTAAGGCAACAAAGAAAGGCGAGCTCACGTTTGAGGATGATAAGGATGACCTAATGGATACACTCGGATTTGACAGCAATAAAAACAATCCCAAGAAAAAAGAAACACCGCTTTGGTCTCCCAAGGAAAGGTAACAACTCTGTTTTCACTTTTTTTTTCCCCTCTCACTCTCGTTGTTGTCCTTATTTATAGCACTCAAATGATGAATAATTACTGTGGTATTGCTTTGGGCTGCAGCTAAAAACATAACCAAACTCTGACTTTACAAACTAGCCTCAGTCTGGTTTGTTAGCCTAGCTGCTTTTGTGCGTCACCTCTGTTCCCTGTTGCTCTCAGAGCCGACGCCCCTCAGAGACCTCGTACCAGAATTGATGAGATTCTGGAGAGTTTCACGTCACCGCGTCTTCTGGAGCGACCACCAACGGGCGAGAGGAAGGACGAGCTTCAGTCTCAAGAAAAGCCGCAACAGGAGAAGACGTCTGCTGGGAGAGGTGATAGAGCACCATAGTTGTGTCCTTAACTTGGCTGTAATTAAATACTATTTTAAAAAAATGAAGTAGCTAATCGTTTTCCCAACTATCAGAGCCTCGTTTAGATGATGACCTCACATTTGGATCCTATCAGCCCACACTGGGATCCACTTCTGAAGGGCGTCAGTCTCGTAGACAGTCTGTCAGGTGTGCCCAGGTTTTGTTATTTACAGTTTGCTTCATGGCTACAGCTTTCAGCAGGACAGAAGTAATCTTTTTTTTCTTACGACCAGATTTTCTACTGAGGACATGAGTGTATCTACGCCAGAAAAGAAGCCAAAGCCCACCACTCCCACATCTTCTCGACAACGCAACTCAGCCGACTGGCTGGGCCTCAAGACAGAAGATGAGCCGGTCTATCTAGAGGAGGGCATCGATAAGACAAAGAATCCAGCAGAGGCTTCAAAGAGCCCCTCATCTCCTTTACTGGAAAGAAAGCCCTCATTCACTGGTAGCCATTCCACATCTGTTGCAAAAACACCAGAAGAGAGCTCAGCCCCAGCTGACAATACCATTAAACAGGCCAAGCCTGAGGTTTCTAAGACCCAGAGGAAAGAAGGGGATGATGAGGATGACTGGTTAGCTGGGGCACTGAGCAGGAGGAAAGCTCTGTCCGCGTTAAACACAGAGGCAAAACCATCCAAGCAGGAAGAGTCTTTCACTGACTTCAGTGTTAGGTACGGTGCAATTTGAAGACAATAACAGAAATGCTACAGAGACAGAAAGAGCATGTTCTCAGTAATGATTGATAACCTGATCTCATTTTTAGTAAACAAGTAACGTCACAAACTCCCAAAAGCAGAGAAGACACGCTTCCTTCAATCAAAGAAACGAGGTAAGGGGTTTGTTGTGTAAGTCCATTAAATCCATGTTAACGTTTTGGCCCTTTTTAAAAAAAAATGTTCCTTATATTTTATGTAGTGACACTTTTCCCGGACGCCTCGGTCCTGCTGCTCATTCCACGCCTGTCAGAGAAGAAAGGTCTAATCATGGTAGCTATCCTTCCATCTTATTAAAGTCACTGATTCAGATTGCCAGCAAATTTGCCCAATTTGCACATTTACAGCAGAAACCCTTTTGACCACTCCTCTCACACAATCATACTAGTTAATGTTAATCATTAGGCTGCTTCCCGTATACTTAAAAAAGCCATCTAATACCTAATCCTACCTTGTATCACATCATTTTAAAATAGAAATAAGTCATGAGCTCATATTTTTTCTAAACCGTGTCTTCCTTTTCTCATACACTCTCCTTCTGTAGTTAACGAGTATACACCCACAGGCGAGTGCTACCTCCCCTCCACCTTAGCATCATCCCCACCAAACCCACTCCATCCATCAGCTCTTAGTTCGCCTTATCATTCAGTTTACTCTGCTAGCGATACTGATCCCTTGTTAGCCTCTGCTGTTAGCATTCAGTCCAAACCCCACCACTTCCCATCCAGTACAAGATCCAAGGTGCTAACAGAGCCCACTCAGGCTTCAAATGAAACCTTGCAACAACTGCCTTTGCCCAGCCCCCTGTCTGCTGCACTGCCCGGCACAATGTGGTGTAGGTAATCTCAGGGAAACGACTCAGTTCACTAAAATACCATCAGATTTCTCTCCAGTGCCTTAATATCAGATGTAACGCCTCGGTGTGGTTGTTACTCATGTTTTTTCTTTTTGTTTTTCCTGCAGATCCGCAGCAAAATGCAACGCTAAACACATCAGCTGCTTTCCCACAACAGGTACTGTTACCTTCATGCATCAAGGCTGTCATAATTGTAATAGATATGTTTTACCTCCACCAAGGAGGTGATGTTTTTGGCACTGCTTCTGCATGTACTTGTCCTTCTGCCTGTCTGTGAACACGAAAAAATGGAGAAAAAGTCTTATAACTTAGAATCTATGATTCCTAAAAGTGCAGTGTGTATTGTCAGCATATAGAAAATGCTGTATAAAGATTTAAAATAAGTCACTGTTGACCTTTACGTCATAATCTCAAATTATTCATGTCCAGTTAACTGCAAATCAATACCTATTATCCATTACCTACGCCTACATAACAAAAGCCTGCAGTTTGTAGAGCAGTAAAAACAAGTGCAAACCTCTTTAAGTACGTTTAAAAAGAACAAAGAAAACAAAATGAGCGCAGAGGAACTACAACACCGTTCCCTTTGAAGTAAATACCACCCAAAGACAGGTTTGTAGTCTCTGAGTTTTTCTTGTTGTCATTTTTAATGCTTTCTTCTTTGGAACAGGCATCATTTTCAGCCGACAGTCTGCAGCAGCTGCTTCTCCAAAACCAGGTAAGGACCTCCTCACTTCCAAAGACCTACTAATGGATGTAATCACCAGATTCATCCTTTGGTTTGTTTTTAATTTGGCTACTTTTTTTCAAAGCTGATGCAGACTCAGTTGCTGGGCCTAGGCGGTGTGGTTGATGCGGGACTCCTGCGGCGCCTTACAGAAAAAGAACAACCTGCAGACTATCAAGCTTTACAGGCCCGCGTCATCCAGTTGGAGGGACAGGTATGTCCTCATGTGGTGACAAGAAGGATGTGAGGTGTGATGGGGGGAGCATTGTTACTGTATTATTATTATTATTATTTTTTTTTATCTTTAAAGTTTATCGTGTCATCATTCAGGTCAAGACTTTGCAGCTGGAGCGAGACCAAAGCCAAATGATACTGGAGAGCATGCAGCAGCGGCACAAACAGGATATGGAGCTCCTGGAGAACGCACACAAGTAGTCCATTCCTAGACCACATCAATTTATCAATTCAGTTTAGCACATGAAACTGTGGAAGTCTTCTACATACATGTGTCTGTAACCCAAGTCTCTCTGTGTATTTTCAGAGCTCGTGTGAAACTGCTCGAGGATTCGGTTGCCCAGCGGGAGACTCAAGCGCGACATGAGTGCGAAGACCTGATGGAACGCCTGGCAACGGTAACGCGAGCGGCTGAGAAGGAACGCTCAGAGCTTCAGGCTCAGTACCAGCGGAAAATGGCCCAGGCCCAGCAGGAAAGAGACTGTGAGGTGGAGAGACTCAGAGACCTTCAGAGGTAAACGTAGGAAAACCTGTTTTATGGCAGCAGGTTGACTATGAAATGAAAGCAAGAACAAATTTTCTACAGTTAGCGACAAATTTACTGGCTGTGAAGTTGTAGTTTCAAAAGACAACACCATAGGAAAGAAAGAAAAGAAAACCAGCCTTCTTTGCTTTATTGAAATTGGTTTGGGTTTTGGGATTTACTCAACTAAATTATCCAGATAACTCAGTGAAATAACTCAATAAGTCTCCAAATATTTAGTTTTTTATCGCAAATAGATGACTTTAAGGTTTAGTGTATATTTGTTGCATTGCTGCTCAGAAAATCTATCTTGGAGATGAAGAGAGACTATGAGGATCAGATCCACAGGCTGAAGAGGCTAAAGGAAGAAGAGATCGATGCTGTTACAAGCGCAACATCTCAGACCAGGTAAGAAAATTCCCAAAAAGTCTAATTGACAGTCACATATTTAATGTTTTTGCTTTTTTTTCTTTTGTGCACGATATCAGCGCCAGTGCTGATACATGTAGCAAGCTTTTCGTGTATAAAAAGTTTTAATTCCACCGCCTTTGTCCAGGTCCGTGGCAGGGGTGATTGAAAGGATGGAGCAGTTCTCCTCACGGCTTGGAGAGCTTTCCTCTCGGGTGGAGAGCACGCACGAACACACCGCTCACGGCCTGGAGCAGGAGGCACGGCACAGAGACGAGCAGCTTCGAAGTATTTTACACACACACACGCGTGTGTACTTTGTACAAAATGGGTCAAGATGCAGATTGTCCGAGAACACGATGGCTTAATGTCATTCTGTGTATGTGTGCGTGTGTGTGTGCGTGTGTGTGTGTGCGTTTTAGCAATGCAGGGTCATCTGGCCCAGCAGCAGAAAGCCATGGCAGAGGAGAAAGCGTACCTGAAGGACATTATTTCCAGGATGGACACTCAGCTTAAAGAGCAGCAGAGACAGCTTGAGAAGGTGATTATGAGAAATGACAGTAGCAGACCAAGATCATACACCGGGACCTGCTGCAGTAGTGCATCAACGAAAAATGTCATACTTTAGATTTCTAAACATTGTCTTTGCATATTAAGAAATATTGCAGAATCATTTTTACCTCACATCAAGAGTCAACTAAGTATTTGGAATTTGTAGAATTATGGCCGAGCGCTTGATGAACCAATAAGACTAAACATGGGCGAACGAACAAAAGCGTGGTTCATGTTTAATTGAAATCATAACATTAGAAGTAGCTGCGCAGACTGAGAAGAACAAAAAGACAGAAGATGGTCGTCCTGCGTCTGCAGAGCCTCACACAGACAGAAAGTATGCACCAGACGTGCCTCCCAACCGCACTGAGCTGATCTCCGAACTGCCAGAAGCCTCACATCCAAAAAAACTGCTTTTAATGCTGAAGAAATAAAGCCCAAAGCTCATTTTGATGTACGATGTTGACAAAAAACATGCAACCACAGTCATAAACAGTGGTCTTCTGTCCTTTGGCAGGTTCTCTAAGATGCTCAGAGCATCCTACTTATTCATTTTTAAGCTATATTTTATAAGTGTGAGGAAAACAGCTAAAATACCACCTATAATATAAACTGACCTTCTTCTCATTAAAGACTGAAGATGCCATTTAATTTTGCGTGCTTTAGGAGCGCTGGAAGATGACAGCAGAGCAGGCCAAAGCCGAGTCGACCCAAAGAAGCCTGGAGGAAGAGCGGTGTGTCCTCACCACGCAGATCAGCGTGGAGCGAGAGGAGCTGGAGAGAGCCAAGGTGAGGCCAACGAACATCTGCAGCAGCAGCACAGGTGTTTTGCACCAACTTGGCGCAGCTTGACCGCCACTTGCTTCTTTGGCCTTTTCTGTGTTTTCAGAGCGCGTTACTGGAGGAGCAGAAGTCAGTGATGCAGCACTGCGCGGATGAGAGGAGGAAGCTGGCGGCCGAGTGGGCACTCTTCCACGCCCAGGAGAAGCAGAGGCATGAGAGGGCTGAGCGTGAGGTCAGCAGTCTGTTGGAGAAGAGGGAGGGCTCCATCATAAGTCTGGCACAGGTGAGCTTGAGCTTTAGGTCAGCTCTTTAGCCCACACAAGTCGTGAAAAGGCACAAAAAATGTAAAAACCTTTTGTAGGAGCAAGCTGACTTGAAGCTTCGCACGGCCGAGCTGAAACAGAAGGAACTTGCTGTGGCACGGGAGCGAGAGGCTCTGGAAGAACTTAGAGAAGAGCTGGACAGAGAGAAAGAAAGACTAAGCAGCACGGCCCTGAGACTCAAAACACGAGCCCAGGAGGTCGAGGCATTCAGCAAGGTAATTTCACACTACACCGATCCCTGTGTGTAGTGTGTTGGACATGTTTTTTGTCCAGCGTGTGTTCATATTTTCCCTACACCGTGTTCTTCACAGCTCGCGGCAGAGAAGTATGAGGAGGGGGAACGAGCGTTGCAGGAGGCGAAACGATTGGAGGCGGAGCACGAGGCGCGACTGAGAAATATTCACACCCAAACAGAGCACCTGAGGCAACAGGAGCAACGGATTTTAAAGGTATGTGTGTCACTTTATGAAGCACATAAATGAATAAATGTGGTGGTTATCTTAACACTTGTTGTTACAGGAGCAAATACGATTAAGTCACCTGCATAAGGATACACAGAGGCTGGGCCAAAACCCTCCTCTTACACCTCTACCACAAATTATTGCCCCCGTTTTAACAGGTGAGGCTGAATGTTGGTCTTCTCTACTAGCTTAAAGTAACACATTTTCTGTGATCTCTAATTGGCCTTTGTTACTGTCCCTACAGACTCAGTTTCAGAGCTGCCTGCAACCCTAAATGTTCCTCCTCCAGTTTCATTTACCAGCTCTCAGTCTATGGCACTTCAGGCCAATCTGGCTCTGTGGAGATATACTGCAGAAAAGGTGAGCACATTTTTAGTTGCAAATGTCAAATATCACTAAAACAGAATTGACAAACAGCAGCTCACATGCTCTATTTTTCCTTACATGTGAAATTTTTACCCTTATTTGATCCTAAATTAAGACACAGGTCTGATTGTTTGTGGATGTTTTTGGATGAAGTCTATTTCAGTGAAGCCAAACACATCTTCTTCCCACCACCCTGGCTCCAATTCCACATTCACCTCTGTGCAGAAGTAGCAGCCAATGTGTGTGACTGAGTAATTGGCCCAAAACCTGCCCAAAGAAATTGCACATCATAGACTTCATGGCCTCTGTTTATTTCTGTACAGCAGCGTGCTATACTTACATTTTTAATGTTCCTTGGGGTGGCTGTGGCTCAGCAGGGTAGAGCAGGTTGTCTTTTAATTGGAAGGTTGTTGGTTTGATCCCTGACTGCTCCAGGCAGCATGACAAAGTACCCTTGGGGCTCAGGTAGAGTAGAAAACCAGTCTGTTTACCACTCTTTTGAACACAAACGTCTGCTCTGGCCAAACAAAATCAGAATGGGCAGCGACGTTTGGAAGGTTAAAACCAGCCCAATGCTTTCCTATTTCCATATTTATCAATTTACTGACCTAAAATTAAGAAACCTTCAAAAAAGTGGGACTGTTCTATAAGGAGAGTTCAGCGTATCTCTCCATTATCTGGGTCCCCTTACCCCAACATGTGCAATTGGGATAAATAGTCATGCAAAGCTGGTTATCAACCCAGGGTTTCACATGGAAAGGGTGGCATTGAGCATCTGACCAATAGAACCCTAGAGTCACCAGGACAGTACAGGCCTCAGTAGCAAAGACAGCAATTTTCACATTTAAGAAACCTATTAATCCATTTAGTTTTAAATTTATCCTAGACAAACTGAAAGAATATATAAACCAGTACAGTCCATTTAAGATTTTAATAACAAGTCTTCAGTTATTCATTGCATTGAGGTTTGTTCATATCTTTTATTTTGGTAACTGTTGCTAAACTGTTGGTGGGAACAATGGAACCACAGCAAACAATCCAAAAGAAATGACGTCAGATAAACACAAGTGTTATGATCCAGTACAGGCTTTTATTGCACTTTGGAAACTCAGTCAACATGAGGCATCACAGTGCACACAGCTTTTTAATACAATCACTATTTGGCCAGCAATGCTTGAAATCATTTGTCAAGAATTCAAGTGTTCAGATTTTTGACTGACTGGATTTTGTTTTTCTGCCCCCAACAGGACCGTGAATACCTACAAGAGGAGCAGTTCTTTCTAGAAAATCTGAAAAAGAAATCTTACAGATCTTTCAGCACAGATTGACCAACACATGCTGGGCTTTCCTCCCAGCACATATGGAATCACGTTACTTTCTATACTTCAATTTTATAACTCGTAGTTTTATTAAAAAACACGTTTCTGATCCAACATGGTTTTCATCTTTCATAAAGACAAATACTGAATTTAATAGTCTCCTCTGGCATCACACTTGAGGTTGGTATTCCGTCCTTCCACAGCAGCTCAATCTGCAAGTTAGAAAATAATATAATAAATAAGACCGTAACACTAAATTACAACATGATCAATACAATATTCAAGAAAAACTTTGCTATAAAAACATCAGCAGTCAAGCCTCAGGTTACCATGACTCCACACTTGAGTTCAGACAGGGATAACTTGTATCATCACTGGCTTGACTTTAAAAATCACAACTCTTGCATGATTTACCTGCTCAGGACCTGCTGTCTTCAAGCCCAGAAAATCTTCATCCTTTCTTCTGCTGCTACAGCACCTGTACCAGGAAACAACACGTGGATGACCGAGTGCTCAGATCACACAAGCTGGAAGCAAAGAGCTTTGCAGATTCTCAGAACAGCTTTCTATCGTCAGTTATCGCATCAGACGGCACTTCCTATGCAGCAGTTTTCATCACTGAAAAAGTGGCAACAGAGATCACAAGATCCAGTGCAATACAAACCTTCTGACTGTGGTTCCTTCCTTAGGCACTCAGTGGAAAGGAGAACAGATGAGCCACGAATCTGCAAAAAACACACGTCATCAGTGAGGATCCATCAGCAGCATGTGGGTTTCACAAATAAACACAGCAGCTCAGATACCATGGCTTTCCACAAGGCTTTGTTCTCTCGGACAGGGATAACAAGTTCATCATGTGTACTGCACTGACACAAATGCATACAACTGTTAACCAGTTTTACCTTCAATCAGAAAATGAAACTTCGCCCTGTTGCAGGCAGACAAACGAATCCCTCTGCATCATCCAAACCTGTATAAGAAGTTAAATCAGTGATTGGCTGTAACGTGACACAAGCAACATAACATGGTTCGTCAAAAACGTAAATAATCAAACTTATCGTGCTTCTATTCTGCGTGCCAGTAAACATGATTCATGTTTCCTTACTTAAACGAAACGCTCATTCTACCACTTTCTGAGTCCTCGACTGCGTGGACTCACTGCACGTGTTCACCCGGCTAAAGAGCAGCTAACAGCTAGCACACGCGCACAATTAAAACTTCCACATATTGAGGTCTCATTAAAAGCTCCTCAAAGTCTCACCTGCTCACGGTGGGTCACCAGCAGCAACCTCAACATGTATACATGAATATAATTTAACAAAAATGAACTGCATGGCGAGAGTCAAGAAAGTTGCTCGCGCTTATCTACGGCCTGGAGAAGAAGACCGGAAATCTCGCGTGATAACGCTTTTATGTGTCGTACGCGTCACATGCCACGTGACCGTGATTGGGTGTGGTTGAAAAGGTTTTTTTTTTTTCATTGTTTCTCGCTAAAAATGTGTAACAACCCAATTACCATCCATGGTTATTAATAATAATAACAGCAACAATAATATTAATAAAGCTAAAAACTAGCTGGTGATATTGTGGTCCGCTTATGGTTACTGTGTAAAACGAGGTCATGTGATCACATTGTCTATATTTTTGAACTTTAAAACATTTAGTTGCTATTTATTGTCGCAGATTCTTATCAATAATACTAATAGAAATAAAGTAATAAATGATGTTTGGTTATAGATTTAGATGACCAGCAGTGTAAAGCTGGTTAAATGAGCGAGTTACTCGTCATAAATAGTTTACTGGATGCTATACTTTTTCGTTATAAATGCTGGACTTTTACTTGTAATAGAGTATTTCTATGGACTGTAGTATATGTTTACTTATTTTTTCATTTTACTTGAACACTTCTTTTACACATATACGCTTGTGCAGGGGCAATTTTCATGTAATAAACTATCAAAGCATAGGATCCTGACAAGTCTGTTTACTTCTGGTGTGTCATCCAAACATCTGTGACTTCATTCAAGCAGGAAAAAATAAAATAAAACAAAATAGGAGACATCGCCTGTTGAATTTTAGTCTGGAGTTTGTGAGTCAAATGACACGCAGTTAGTGTCTTAAAATGGACCTACTAGTTTTGAAATATTGTGTAAGACTTGGTGTCACTAGATAAAATCTGCTGCACAGATAAGGTGCAAAGTGTTTCATAAAGTGTGAGAAGGAGACGCGGTTGGGACGGTTCGTTCTGCGCTCTCCTCCAGCTCCATCACTGCCATTCCCCTTCCCAGTCACTAGGGAGAGACTCTGAACTAAGCAAGCTGCTGTTATTACGCTTAAAGGGTCCCACAGCAGGCTGGTAGAATCAGAGTGTGCACCGCACCGCCATCCGCTCACCGGCCTCCGGGACGTGTCGCACTCTCCGTCCGGGATGGAGAAAGACTCCTGTGATCCGGACCCATCCCGCCAGCGGAATGGGTTCGTGGGCGTGCTGTACGGGGAGTTCACCGACATGCTCAACGACAGGGTCCGCTACTCGGTGAGCTTGACGGAGAGCGCGCTGACCATTCAAAGAATCTCCTCTTCACCCGGCCGGACTAAGGTGGTTTTTAACTTGACCGACTGTGTCGGCTGTCGGGCGTACAGAGGGCCGGACAGCGCGGACGTCGGCGCTTACTTTACAGCCTATTTCTACCCGTTCAAGAGGCGCTGGATGAGCGCCGGAGTGACCCGGCACAGAGTGGAGCAGTGCTTTCGGGTCGCACTGGTCCAGGACCCGCTCGCCAACCTCCAGGAGGCTGAGAGGTGGGCTCATGCCATCAGAGATGCTTCGGCGCGCCAGGCGCCCCGGAGAGACGGTGAGTAAACGCGCGGGTCACACGTGTGAAGCCTGAGATTCAACTTTATATTGTAAAATAATAAATAAACTATATGTAGCAAAAAAAAAAAAAAAAGGCGAACGCTGACAAATTTTATGTGCAGATGTTAAAGTATTCAGTGAGGTCAGGGGTGTGAGAAGGCCTTTCTGGCTCTCAGAAAGAGCCTAGTGCACAGATATCCAAAGCAGAGATCTCCAAGTCCCCGGAAAAAGAAAAAACAAACAAACAGGTTTGGCATAGAGGAAACACATTCCACTTGCTACTGTAACCTGTTCTACCTGCTGTGAACGGTTAGCAGTTAACTGCTGTCCCATTCATGCATGTAGCCCATGGTGGTGATTTTTGTTGGATATGAAGCTTCTTTTGAAAAACACACACGCATAAAAATGATCTCTTAAGTAGTTGGATTTTCAACTGATCTTCTGTCAGCAGAGGCTGTAGCTGCTGTTCATCCTTCCATATTCGCGCTCAGTAAATTCCCACTGAGAGTTTATTGTTGATGGGTGGAGGAAAAAAATCACATCAAAACAGCGTCTGTTTTTCACCCAGCTTTCCAGCAGCCTCGTCTAATTAGGCCTCGTCATGTCTCGCTCTGTTTAAAATGCAGACTGTCCTCAAGTTCCTTTTGTCTTCCGATCTCATTATCTCCTCTGTGCTCCAATCTGGTATACAACAACAGGATAATTAACGTGAATACTGTATGAGAAGAGTTTATGCGCCTAATTATCACTATCACTCATTTGGGAACTGATTGGTGATACTTGCTGAGGATGCAGGGCAGAACAGTTTTGGTCTCAAAACTGTGATTCTGAATCCTCTTTGTCGGTCCGGCAATATCTCTTCACACCAGAAATATGAAAAGAAGAAGCGGATATTTGAGTGAGCGTGACTAATTTGGAATGTTGAAGTGTTAGGATATGTAATGAGGTTGCCCTCCTGCAATAGCAGCCTCCAGGTGTACACAGCACACACACACACACACACACACACACACACACACACACACACACACACACA